CGACGCTCTTCCGATCTCCCCAAAACCCCAAAACCCCAAAACCCCGTCTATCAAAATAGAGTGTAGCATTGAAATATTATTATTTATATTAACTCAAATTAACTTAATTAACAGCTCAGTCATGCATCTTCCAATCTTAGAATTCCCCTTCAATACAATCAAGGCATGGTTTATCTCTCAATTTTCACTTTAAAACTGGGCATTAATTTTATTTTTTGCTCCAATTTTAAATGCATTCTTTGCAAAATTCATAATCACACTTAATGCTGCATTCCTTGTCTTCAATTCAAGAATTTTACGAGTCATCATCATTATATTTTTGTCTTTTTTATATCAACTATCCAGGGTTATCTTAGTCTTTAGAATTGCACTATTTTTCTTCCTCTTAGAAACTTTAATTTGCCTATTTTCTTTTACCACCAACTTAAACGTCAGAAGTCTTATTCAACTCACTTTTTGAAAGTTCATAATCATTTTTGGACCTTTAATCAAAGTACTTAGTTTTAAATACTCTGAAGCTTTAAAACCAAATGTTCACGACGCTTTCATATGTAAAATACTTTCTGAATCGACTGAAGCACATCAATGATACAAACTAGTTCACACCTTTTCTACATTTTTATTACAAATCTTTCTTTTTCTGAACTAAACTGGAGTATTCATCTAACACTTTCTTTGATTCAAATTGTTGTTAGTTAAGATGATTAATGATTAATGGCGAAAATAAAACTAGCATATCGAAGCCATCGATTTTCAGCAAATTTTCCTCTATCCTTATTTTTTAGGACTTCTGCTATCGTTGAATATTCTTTATAATCAGTGATTAAAAAAGTGCCTTTTTATTGATTTATTTATACTCGGTTTTCATTAATGCCTTGCATATCCCTAAAGACAGCATAGTATTAAGCACATCATTAGACTATAAACTTCTCGCCTCACTCAGAATAAATTGCTTAAGTTCAGGCATTTATTCGAGAATAAAGGGAAGCACTTAATCATAGATCCTTCTCAAATAATCAAGATATTCTATTCTTTTGTTTTCAGCAATATCATTTTGAGAAACCTGAAACATAAAATGATGCATCACATTAAAGGTTGCAAGTAAAGTCAATTAGGGATCAGGTTCATGCATTAAATATTCTCTCCAGGTCTTACCAATCATTGCAGATGATAGTAAGTTGTGAAAAGTCAAGCCTTATTTTGGGACTCCCATTGGGTAAAATTCTAAATCTCTGTGGAAGCCTTTGTCAAATTAAATCAGCGTCTTATCGATATCACAAATTCCAATTAGTTCTTTCAGCAACCCTTCATTATTTCCTCTTCTTTCTTAAGTGGAGAAAACAAAGGCTGCTCGAAACATTTCTATTTTGCCAGAGCCGTTAAACGTGATTTCCACTTATTCTTGATTATTAGCTCTAAATGTCTCATTATTCAAGTATTTGAGCATGAATTCCTAATGAGAAACACCACTATCTGCAGTTTCAATTTAATCTTTGATTTAGCTCTCTACCATTCAATTTAATTGATTCTCTATTTGTCTAATTTATTTATATATTATGCGCCACCAATACAATAAATCAAAATTTAATTTCATTGTTTATTTTTTATTATCATCAGATGGGGTTTTGGGGTTTTGGGGTTTTGGGG